TTGTTCATACTGGCGTATTAAAAAAATGCGTAAGCGGAGCACGTACACAGAACTCAGTAAGCTATGAACAAAAATGTTTATAAGCTTTTAGCGTGTGGAACATTTGCTCGCTGATAAATATCACCTACAAGTCTATTTGTCGGTTATGCACACTAGCGAGTAATGTTCCAGATGAGGCCAATGAATTTAGTTAAGTGCAACGCTTAAAACACTGTTAAGTTCAAGTGGCATATCAAATAGTTGGACTTCTTTGCAGCAGTAGTTTGCCGACGGCATGCACGGGAGGCTTGGACACATCCTTCCTCTGCGACTTCCACTCTGAGACTGACGAGATCGTGGGCTCTAGCCGCAGAGTGTGCAGTGCAGACGTGACATCAGGTACCCCGGGGCCGCCCCTTCCCTGCTTGCAAGCGCGCTGGTCAAGGGATTAGCGCAAGCGCCGGCCGGGGTTTCCTAGGAAGGAAAAAACCCGATGGCCACGGGCAACCCGGGCCAACTGGACGAACAAAATGTGTACTCAAGTCGCTATCAGAGCGTACATGACACCCAAAAGCGTACTCGAGTCGCTCTCAGAGCGAATATGACGACCCAAATGTGTACTCACGTCGCTCAAGAGCGAACAGAGCGACCCGATGACAAACCGAGGTCAGTCCTCCACGCGGGCAGTGACGAACCCTGACGACCCATTGGCGTCCCTTGCGCGACCCTCCGCGCACCGATAGCAAACTAAAAGCAACCTTAAAGTGAACAATTATTTTGGCTCGGGGTCGTTCTTTAACTTTCTTTGTAGATGGATACGACACAGCCCCGCCCCGATCCAATAAGTCGTGAACCGCAGAAACCAGGTAAGGACTTCCCAGGATGCCGCCGCCGCCCGGCCGCCCGGCCGCCTCACGGTCAGGGTCCCGTCCAGCCGGGCGTCACTTAATTCACGCTCGGTGGCATCTTTATCTCCTTAAGCACGTCGTTAAGGCCGTTAAGGCGAATAGCCGCCTCGCCTTAAGCAGCGTTTGGTGTGACACCGACACGCCGCCAAAGGCCGAGAAGAGGCGCGCCGCCGTCCTGGCCGAACAGCAACGGCAGTCGGCGGGGACTCCGCGCGGCCCGGGCCGGGCAGGACGGTGCCTTTCTTCGCCACGGGTGGGATTGCGTCTTCCCCTCCCCCTCCCACAAAGAAAAATCGTGAAGTGGCTAATAATGGCTCTCTAGCCACCCACCGAGGCCCGATACCCAACGGCATATCTGTTTAAACGGTTACCCGAACGTAAAAAGTTGCCCGTTCTGTTAAATATTGCCAGTTTCCGCTCCTGTTTTGATACAGATTGACGATTAACGTCCCATTTTTGACGATTTTTGATAAACCGATTGACGGTGGTAAAGATCTTCTTGTCGTCTTGCGAAACGTTTCTGTGCAGTGGCAGGCTTGGTCTACCGTCTCTTTTTTGTCGGCACAGTAACCGTGCAAACGTGAGGATCCTTCTTTAGAATGTTATTCTCAGCCATAAGTAAAGAGGGATAAGGTTGCACGTTAAGTAAAGTAAAAATTGCATCCAATTCAATTAAATGTATTAAAAGATAACAGACCAATGTCAACAACAGTAGCAGGTTGACAGCCCTACCCTGTCTCCAATAATTATGATGACAGTTAACTATCAATAATATTATTTAAAAACCAAAACTTAAATTAAGATCACAATTATTTTCTTAGATTTAAAGCTATCTGAATTGATGCTGCCTGGAACTTCCAACAATTGTGAGATTTTTACTTACAATATGCTTCGATATATGATACATGTGAAGCCTTATTACATTTTAATAATATGTGTGACACATGTGTATGTACAATCTTTCACAACGTAACTTACAACATATCACTAGGTTACACATTGAGGAGGAAAACGCCGGGACAAGGACATTCAGCTACACACAGCTATTGGAAAATTCATGGCAACGCAATTCAGAGGTGTCACAGTGAGTGTTTAACACAATTAGCTGCGATAAGACGCCATCGCGTCAGAATTTACCAGAGAGTTGTCTGTTCAAGTCTCGGGAAATGCGACGGCGCGTTCCCACTTTTTGAGAGCCACATTCGTCCCGTCCCGAAGACAGGATCTCAGTAAGGCCTCCACACCACCTTGTTGGGGCTGGCTCTGGCCCGCAGGGAGGTCACGGGGGACGCCGCTTTGAGGCGGTGCCTGTGCGCGGGGCCGGTGGGGGTGGACGGCGGTGACCTGGAGGCCCCGGGGGAGGACCTTGACGGCGACGGCGACTGCCGGTGGCGCAGTGAACTCTCGGACCCGGGATGCTGCGGGCTGCACGGTGCGGCCACGTCCACGTCGTCGTCGTCATCGTCGTCGTCGTCGACGTGCCGCCCCCGCCGTCGGTCGTCGTCCTCGTCGTCCTTGTCGTCGTCGTGGACGTTCACCTCGCCGTCCTCGTCCGAGCCTCCAGACGACATCTTGGAGTCAGTGAGGGAACCCAGCGAGCCGACGGCCGCCGCGTGGCGCTGCTGCAGCTGCAGTGCCATGGAGTGCAGATCCGCGCCCTGCCGAAAGCAATAACAACGTTTAATACTCACAATCAGTTTGCCTATGAGGTGCTGATGGCCAGAACATGACAACTCCTCACGGCCAACTCACCTGGAAGTGCGGCGGCTGGTACAGCTGCGAGTACAGCCAGGGCGCCCCGGGCAGCGGGGTGCCCATGAAGAGGGAGAGGAAGGCGGAGTTGTGCGGCTGCAG